GGTTTATGGTTAGGGTAAGGGCTGGGGTTAGGGTTCGGGTAAGGATTAGGGTTATGGGTTGGGTTGGGATAGTGATATCGCATGTATAATGCCCCAAGTTTCTGTCTTACGGGAAGCGTTGGAGTAGGCATTTAAATATAAATAAGAACATATGTGCGCTACCAAGGAAACTCCTGCCGGTTTTCTTTGTTTGGCTCCTTGCCTGCATTTTTCGACGAATGCGCCAGGATAACCATTAATTGTGAAAAGTTTCCGCAGATATTTGACTTCGGCCTTCCCGTCGGCTGGTTCGCTGCAGTGGGTTTCTACGCGGCGATATAGAGTTCGCACGCAGCTGCGTTTGTGCGTGGCGGGATGGTTGCTGAGGTAACTCGGAATACGTGAGGTATTTGTCGCCTTTCTGTAAACTGTTGTTTTGAGTTTCCCACCGCCTTTTCTGGATATCAGCACGTCAAGGAACGGCAACTGGCAGTCTTTCTTCCTCCATCGTGAACTGGATGTCAGGGAAGAAGGAGTTTAGATTCTCTGTGAAATCTTCATTCAATTCAATTACCTGGGCCTCGCATATTTTCGACTACATATGTATATATATGGCAGTGGATTTCACACAGCTTTCAGCTCTCTACTTTCCAAGAAATTAGTATTGAATTTGCAATATATCAGTATATTAAAGGTCTTCAGGCACCGATTAACATTATTACGTGGTTATCCGAAGTGAGTGATGGCCTTCGATCCAAATATTTACATCAAATTTAGGTCTTCGCATATTTGCCTTGAATATACTGATCTACACTGAGTCCAAAAAATTTATAAGGAAATTCAAAAGTGGAAAACTGCATAAAATCCACTGCACTATCTTAGTTAACGAAACTGCCTCCAAATTCGGGACATTTTTCAGGAGATTAGAAAGCTAAAAAGTCCAACCTGGGGTTTATACCCGAAATTCGGCTAGAGATTGCTTATACACCTCCCCCCTTTCCCCCAGCAGAACATGGGACCATAAACCGACCGTAATCCATGTGGCTTTACAATAAATTCCAGGGAAATAACGATTAGGATTAAGGGCATGGTTAAGTTAAGGGTTATAAGTAAGTTTAGATTTGGGCTAAGGTTGCAGTTGCAGTCAAGATTTGAGCTAGTTTTACGTTTAGGACGTGGAAATATCGACTCTTTTCTGGAATGCAGTGCAGAGACATCAGTATTACATGGCGGAGGGGCATTTCTATTCTTGTGTCCTGTCGGGCGGCCATAAAAAAATTCCGATCCAAATACAAGATAGAAATCAGTAGAACAGAAACCTATGAATAGATCAAAGGCACTCCAATGGGCTCCCCAACCTCCGGTTAAGGGGCAGAACGTGTCCTATAGGAGCTAGAAAACACTGCCTTCAACCAACATGCGCCTGCCTTTTGGCGCCGTTACATTGACGACAC